TTTCTCTTTCTTAAAGGAGCCTCGCCGGTCGTCTGTCGCTCATAAAGCTTCACCACCAGCCTTCGCCTAAAGGCTCCTGACTCCTGATTGGATCAGAAACACCTGAACACCTGCATCAGCAACCCAACATTTTTCACTGTTCCTCTATTAATAAAATCTTCACCTTATCTGACCTTTGACCCTGTCCATGCAGCTTTGGAGTTGCTGCAGTTTTGTCAGAAATGTTTCCAGTGTAAAGATCCGGACAGCTTCATTGCCGGAACCGCTATGAAGCTAGTGGTTCCGACTAGCTCAGTTAACAGAACCTGAGTTAACATCTGCAAGAAGCAGAAATATTTGCTCCGACATAAAAGTGATCCCATGTTGACACCACAGTTATGGCCAATAACCAATATTCTCTCATTTCAAGTCATTCAGGTGTCATTGATTTCAGGAACTAATGCCTTATGTAAAAACAGGTTCAAAGGTCAAACCTCCAGCTGTTATTAGGGACTTTGCTCTTCTGTTTATCAGAAACGAGCAGCAGAGATCTGAACTGGGCCTGAACCCACGGCACCACTGGAAGCTGAACTGGTTTCTTTACAGAGTCAGACTGGGAGGAACAATTCAGATGTTTGGGAGCAGAAGCATCTCAGCAGGTGGTTTCCATCCAGAACCCTCCACAACGTTCCATTTTACTCTGAAGCATTAAAACTCTCATAGATGAAGCGATAAACCGGCTCCACTGAGATCTTTTCTTCAGATTTGGTTCTGCTGCGGCTGAAGGACAAACAGGATGGAAGAAATCTGGGAAGAAGCTGCAGATTCAGACGACCAAACAGCAGCGACTGCTTTCCCTTCAACACGGCTCCTAGCGATGATTAAAGCTCCGATACTGGAGGTGGACATGGAGCTCACTGTTAGGAGAATCCATCTGTGGGTGAAAGTTTATTTCAGGGCGGCGTGCGCCAGCTCAAACCAAACAAAGCGCTGAAAGCAGCTCCATATTTGGAGGTGAGCAGCTGTTGTGTTGCAACATCGCAAACTGAGCGGAGCGGCAACCATCAGGCTGCAGCCCGGACGCCTCCGAGACGCTGGAATGACGGCAGATCAGAGATAAGCAGGAGGCGGGTTCTGCTCCGGGGGGGCAACAAGGCCCAGGGGGGGCAATAAGGATCAGAGGGGCAGATTCTTTACAGCAAACAGACGTTCTGCAGCCACAGACAGGGACAGATTCAGCCGCCTGCGTCTGATTATTAGTCTCCTGTTTGGGCCAGGAAGCATCAGGAGAACCAGCCCATCTGCCGGCCCACTTCCTGGTGCCGGACGGGTTCTGGAGTCAGATCAGAGGGGTCATGACGTCGGTTTTAATTCTCCAGAACCGAGGTTTTCACAGCAAACAGATGTTTTAATGTCATCAGCCTGTAAATGGGTCGGGACCGGTTCAGAAACTCATGACTGGATCCTGCCGGGAATCAAACACCAGCAGCGTT